AAGGGCCGGGCTCGGTGGCTCAGCCTGTAATCCCAGCACTTTGGGAGGCCTAGGTGAGTGAATTGCCTGAGCCCATGGGTTCAAGACTAGCCTGTGCAACTTGGTGAGCCCTCGTCTCTACAATAAATCAAAAATTAACCAGGTGTGGTAGTGCGCTCCTTTAGTTCCGGCTACTTGGAAGGCTGAGGCGGACGGATCGACAGAGTCCAGCGGGTCGATGCTGGGGTGGTCATGAGTGTGCCACTGTCCTCCAGCCTGGGCAACAGAGTGAGACTCCAACTCAAAAAAGAAAAGAGAAAAAGAAAAAAGAAAGAAGATTCTTGCATCCGTTCACGTATTTAGGGGTAATAACAACAAAATAACAACTATCATTTACTGAGTATTACTCTGTACAAGGAGCTCTGCTAAAAGCTTCCTTAATCCTCCCAGCAACTCTATAGGATAAACACTAGAATATGCCCATTTTCCACATGAGGAATCTGTGGCTTAAAAAACTCAGCCTTGCCGGGCTCGGTGGCTCAGCCTGTAATCCCGCGCCTTTGGGAGGCTGAGGTGAGTGGATTGCCTGAGCCCGCGGGTTCGAGACCCGCCTGGGCAGGTGAGACCTCATCTCTACAATAAATCAAAAAATTAGCCGGGCGTGGTAGCGTGCGCCTGTGATTCTGGCTACTCGGAAGGCTGAGGAGGAAGGATCGCCGGAGCCCAGCAGGTCGAGGCTGCGGTGGCCGGGAGCGGCCACTGCATTCCAGTCTGGATGACAGAGTGGGACTCCAACTCAAAAAAAAAAGAAGACATGGTAACATTGTAGAAAGTGATCTCAACTACAAATTAGAAGTCAAGGAATCCAGACTTAATCCTAATGTCATGGATTTGCTTCAACAAATCATTTAATCTTTTTTTCTTTCAGATTCCCAGTTTCAAAACAAAATGATAGCTCTCCTAATTACTTAGTATATGGACCTAATAAAATGAAATTTATGGAAAATATAGAATAGTAAATAATAGGGCAAACCACTATATAATATTTTAGATATATATAGGCTGATTTTAGAGTATTATTCAGACCTTATTTCAAAACTATATACATATAGTTTATATATCATATATATACATGCAGCTTCTTTAAGAACCATCTATAATGTCTACTTCCAATAACGGCCCCAAAAGCTGTCAGATCAACCCTTTCTGAGACAATAACTATAAACTCTTGACAAAATAACAGAAATGCTACCTAAAGACAATGGAAAATAGCTAAGTTAGCCAATTCTGCCCGATTATTATATAAATCTAAAGCTGTTATAATAAAATCTATTAATTTTAAAACATACATCTTAAAATTAAAGAAATGTGATATAGTCCCCTTTCTTGGGTATGTAATACAGTAAGAGTTGGAAAGGTATGGACAGACCTAAGAAAACAACTACAAACTTCAAGATATGCCATTTTCTGCTTAACCATCAAGTACTTATTAAATACTATGTAAAAACTATCGCCTCTTATCTCTCTCTTCACATGAATTAACCGCAATTATACCTGTCTCTCCTTTAACCTTCCAACTATTTAGTCTGTATGTTGTCTTTTACCCTTTGCCTTCTTCTGAGCATTTCCCTCAACCAACATCTTGCACTTATTCCATGAAATGCTGTGAGAATCAGAAATCATCTAAGTTAAGACCCTAACTCACAGGCCTCCTTCCTTCATTTCAGTTCTCACTTCTTATTCATTTCAGTTCTCACTTCTTACCACTACTGTAATAGCTCGCACATTTCCTTCTTCCAGCTTTATTTTCAAGAGGTTTTAGTAATGATTTTAGGATTTGAAAAAAGTAACAATTAGCAGGAAAAAACAGTGACTAGTCAAAAAAATAAATGAACTTTTCTTTAGAAGTTTAAAATAGAAGAGTCAAGTATTTCTCTTCTGGTTTTCCTGTAAGAATAGAAATTCAAAAATTTGGACCAGGCACAGTGGTTCACACCTATAATCTCAGCACTTTGGGAGGCTGAGGTGAGAGGATTGCCTGAGTCCATGGGTTTGAGACCAGCCTGGGCAACTTGGCAAGACCTCATCTCTACAGTAAATCAAAAAATTAGCCAGGCGTGGTGGTGCATGTCCGTGGTTCCAGCTACTTGTAAGGCTGAGGTGGAAGGATCACCTGAGTCTAGCAGGTGGAGGCTGCGGTGGCCAGGAACGTGCCATGGCACTCCAGCCTGGACAAACGAGAAAGATTCCAACTCAAAAAAAAAAAAAAAATTAAAAAATTTTCCTCAAAATATGAAAAAAGTACCTTTAATGGCAACTACATAAATATGACATACATATACATACTCACATATATTTATAAAATTAACAATATGTCTCGATATATCAAGGGGAGGGACTATATTCTTATTCATATTTTGTGGCAAAATAAGATCTATATAAATCAGAGAACATGCATAAAAAATGAAACTTCAAGAGTACTATAAGAACATATGAGGACAATGTTTAATATAATCTCTAACCAAAGCTCCAAACTTATAAGTCATATAAGAGATTTCTTTGACCAAGCTTTTCTATTTCTACAAATTTATTTAAGGCTATACTTATATATATGGACAAAGACAATGTGCATATGTAACATAACAAACATCACAATAGAGTAAAATAAACAGTAGTTTGAAAATGATATAAATGTTCGCTAATGAACACTGACAGAATAAATGATGGCACTTGCATACAACAGAGTGTCATGCATTTACGAGAATGACCAAGAAAGATTTAAGTGTGCTGATAAGAGACAACCTATGGGATATTTTGTTAAGTGAAACAAGTTACAAAAACACTACATAATGTCTTTCCTTTTACGAAAAAAAAGTTACACAGAGATTTACTTCCCTTTTATACACAGGTTGTAAGTACCTCCAGAAAGACACAAAGGAATATGTATGTGGTTGCCTGTGGAGAGGAAGATGCTAGAAAGGAAGAAATCTTGCTTCTAGGGTACATCCCTTGAGTTTTCCAAGTAGTTTTAGATTGTGCATAAAGTCTATCACACACAAAAAAATCAAAGACTAAAATTCAAAAAAAAGTATCAACATAGCATAGTAAATATCCTCTACGTAGGATAACTGAGAGAATTCTTACCTTTCTCTGCAAAATTTAAGTGAATGTAGTATAGCAGGCCTCTTTTGACGTAAATTCCATAAGTGTAAGGTGTCATCAGCCAAGGCACTCACAAGAGCTCCCTTAAAAATAAAGTATTATATATTTTAGATATGATACATTTTACAAATATTAACTCCACTAAATAGCTGCCAAAAATCTCTTTCCCAAATTTCAAAACTTTCTGCCATTTAGATTTAGTTTTAAGAAACACTGACCTCGCTGAAATTCCAAACAGCAGAAGTAAAAGTGTATTATGTATTTGTGTGTATGTAAATTAGTGTTTTAACTTCTTGAACAATTTAAAATATAATTTGGTATGTTATAAACCAAAAGTATACTAGGATCTAGTGGGATAGTATGGTTAAGATCTAGCTATTTAAAATTAGAGCTCAGACTATAAATTACTTGGTAAGTATTCTACATACTTCCTTAATTAACAGAGCAAAACATGGTATTAAGTAATCTCATTTCATTTGACTTAAGAAAAATTCTTATGAAAGTGCTATACCTAGATCATAATCCTACTACTAGAATGGTATGGAAAATAACGATATACTTTGGCACACTGTAACTTCAGTGGCTATTCTATATTTATTCTCGTTTCCTAATTTTATCTGGGTGGGAGGTACATGTGCAGGTTTGTTACATAAAAATATTGCATGATGATAAGGCTGGGGCTTCCACTTATTTGGAAGAATATATGGTATTAAGTTTTCTGTTTCTGTGATAATTTGCTCAGGATGTTCTTTTTTATGGTTGTGCAGTATTCCATGGTACAGATGTACTATATTTTCCTTATTCATCCCACCACTAATGGGCACCTAGGTTGATTCCATGTTTTTGCTATAGTGGATAGTGCTGCAATAAACATGCATGTGCAGGTGTTTTTTTGGTAGAGTGATTTGTGTTCGTTTGGGTATATCCCCAGTAGTGGGACTGCTGAATCGAGTGTTAAGTCTATTTTTAGTTCTTAGAGAAATCTCAAAATTTTTGCTTTTCAAAGGAATCTAACTAGCTATAACTCATCCCTGCCAAAAGGCATCATGTTGAAATTTAATTGCCAAAATAGTGATGTTGGGAGGTGGTGAAACCTTTAAGAGGCATTTAGGTCATGAGGGATCTACCCTCAAGAAGGGTTAAATGCAGTCTCTTGGGAAGGCAGGCATTCTGTCACTTGCAAGACTTAGTCTTGGCAAGAGCAGGTTGTTATAAAGTAAGACTGCCTCTCATGTTTGCTCTCTGCAAGTGTCACCTTCCCTTTCTGCTTCTCTACCATATTACGACAAGCATGAGGCTCTCACCAGAGCCAGCTAGATGCAGCCACCCAGATGAAGCTTGGACCTCTCAGGATCCAGAATCATGAGCTCAACAAACCCCTTTCCTTTATAAACTATCCAGTCACAGGTATTCAGTTACAGCAACAGAAAATGAAGTAAGACACAGAGCTGAGACCTACGCAGGTTTATTTTTTTAAACCTCCAGAGATGATTGTGACGTACGAATAAAACTAAGACTTTCTAAACTAAGAGTTGATTTATTAAGATAGTGGAATTTTTTTCAAAGGATTCAGATACCCTTCATCAACACTGAGATAAGAATAAGACAAGAGATGTAACACGAAAAATTTAAATTAATTAATTTCAAAAAAGATACGCTCTCCCAGTCCTTTGGGTTACTATGAGAAATCTTAAAATTTCCCCTTTCAAAATAAGACTTTCTCATCTATCCAAGATTAAGACAGCTGTCAAGACAAGATTTACATTAAATGATCTCTCCAAGTCCTTTTCCACCATCAAAATTGTATGAGGGCTACACTATTGTATAACTCCTGCTGCTACAGTATTACACTGGAAAGCAAAACTACATAAAGACCTCACTTTCTGCCTTTTACTAAATGCAACCCTTTATCTGTATCTCTTTGAAGTACAGAAACTGAAAGGATTCAGGATGCCAAAGATTTGTACTGTTATTTCTTATTTCTACGATAGTATCAGGTCGTGCCATCTTCTTTTTCAAAATGTTTGCCCCTTCATAAAATCTCAAGAAAGAAGATGAAGGAGTCAAAATGGCAATAATAGCTCATCTCCTCTTATGTAGGCTCCTTCAACTTTACAGAATATGGTTTTCCAAAACTGAAAGCAAACAGATGCTTCCCAATTGTCAGATTTTCATTTGCTAAGTATTTTTAAAACTGTAATATCATATTTTATATATTTAAAATATAACATTTAAGCATATGAAAGAAAACCAAAATGGCCATCTCAAAGAAGTCTATGATGAATCCTACCAAAGGGAAAAGAATACTATAATAAGAATAAAAGCAGCATAAACTTGAGATGTCTAAAATTTAGGTGTATAGATAATTTGCAATATTATATATATTTATATTGGCTCATGTATTAATTAAAAAAATAATCAACACAAGCAAAAAAATTGAGAATAAGTTAGTAGTTGACAGAGATTAGGGGCTGAGAGTGGGAGTTCGATTATGGAAAATCCATTATTGCTGGAAGAATTTCTTCATTCTGTGAGGAATTCCCTCATGGTGATAGAAGGGATCTCTATCTCAATTGTGGTGGTCATTACACAACTGTAATCTGGACATGTGATAAAACTGCACAAATCTACACACACACATATATACACACACAAAATGAGTACATGTACAAACTGGTGAATTTAAAAGGTATATAGTATACTTATACCTTATAAAAAACCTATACTATACTTAAAAGCATTTTATACCTATACTTAAAAGCATTGTTTTGATATCATTCTCCTGGTTTGATATTGTACTGTTGCTACATAAAATGTTATTACTGGATGACGCAGGCTCTCTCTACAGCTATTTTGAAACTTAACTGAAAATCAAATTGTTACATAATAAAACATTCTTTAAAAGAGGAAAAATAACTTTAGTGAGTCCTTACATATGCGTTCAATAACTTTCTACATTGTGATTTTTAAAAAATGTTATCATCTTAAAATACCTAATATAAAGTTCTACACAGAATATTAAAGTTTTAAAAAAACTCCTTCTGACCCTGAAAAATCTACACAATTGCAAATTATATGGATTATAGTTTTAAAGAATTTTTAATATTATCTTCTTAAGCTTTTTCAACTCATGATGCCTTTCTTAAATCCTCTGATGTGAACGTAACATTTATCAAAAGCCAGAGGCATTCAGTAATTTATTTTCTCATAGCTGGGCTCGGTGGCTCAGCCTGTAATCCCACGCCTTGGGAGGCTGAGGTGAGTGGATTGCCTAAGCCCGTGGGTTTGAGACCTGCCTGGGCAACTTGGTGAGACCTTATATTAGCCGGGCACGGTAGCGCGTGCCGGTAGTTCCAGCTACTTGGAAGGCTGAGGTGGAAGGATCGCCGGAGCCCAGCAGGTCGAGGCTGCGGTGGTCGGGAGCGGCCACTGCACTCCAGTCTGGGCGACAGAGTGAGACTCCAACTCAAAAAAAAATTTATTTTCTCATATACATTTAAGCATTTATTTCTAAATCTATGAGGATCTAGGGGCAAACAGAATGTCCACAAATTATTCTCATATTTAAGGAGAACAGAGTCGTTTCTGCAGTAATGTATCTTTCTTCCTTCAGTGACCAGCTTTCTCTATTTGTCATCACTTGCACTAAACATCTATTCTCAGAGCTGCTCATACTTTCTTGAAATCTGCAAGCGTAGTGTATCCTATACAGAAAAAATGGTGTTGCCTCTAATTCCTTCTATACTTTATATTCTTATCAAAAAGAAAGGCATCATCAATTACTTAAAGCAGTAAGCAACACAACTTGACTGTTACTTAAGAACTCTGGGCAGTAACCAGTTTCTAATGAATGCTGGCTTCCTGGGTTAAATTTCGAAGCAATTCAATAAAGAAGTCCATACTATAATTTATAAAAAGCTCAATATTTTAAAAATATTTTAATATAGATTTGCATATGTTACATAATGTTCAATATCCGTTAAACAAAATTTAAATTCAGCATCTTGTACCAAAAAATATTTTCTTCATACTATTCTATATGCAAAACTGATTTGAGAAACATTTTACATTATTTATGTAACTGTCCATGATGATACCTTAAAATGATTTACTACTCTTTCTAATCTACAATGAATTACTTTTTGCTCAGATATTCAAATAAATATGAATGCATTCAAGAAATGTTAAAGATCAGATATAAGTAGGAGAGATTAAAACAATTCACCAACCTCATTAATCAGGAACTGGAGTTGGATTACTGCAGCTCCACTGTCATGCTGGCAATAACATTCTACTCCTGGACGACCAAAACTGTCATTAATTCCATTAAGGAGGTTATGGTATGAGCGGGGTTTTATTTTTGAAATTGATAAGTTACATAATAGGCTAATAAATATTATGATGGCCTGATACTCAATATAGGCTATTTACTGAAGTTGAGCTTGAGAGTTAGGTTTGTTACCAATCAATCTAATTAGTTAGTTTCTGTTGAAAATCATAAGTCTCAGAGACCACTGGTCTAAAAGAAATGATAATTATTCCTAGAAAAAGAAGTATTAAAATCAGCAACATATCAAAACAAGATAATATATAGTCAATATACCTTATTCTGGCCCAAATTCTTTTCTTCCTCTTAGAAGAACAAAACAAAGATTGAGCATTCAATTTTGCCTAAGACAGCAAACAAATCTAAAAAGTAAGCAAATGTCATTCTGGAATACTGCTTTTAGAAATAATAATCTTTTTACTATCATTTTTCATTCCTGCAGCATCATTTTTAAGTATTCTAAAAATATAATGAAGAAACCTCAAACTATGTTGCTAACTGAAGCATGATGTTGTAACACCAGAGAATGTATCAATCTTTTACAAGATGCATGGATACTGATCAATATTAATTTGCATATAATAGCATATACTTGCATAATATTTTCTATGTGTTAGACATTACTGGAAACGTTATTTATATCAATTCATCTAATCCACATAACCCATGAGGAATATATTTTAGACATAAAGAAACTGAGGTACACAGAAATTAACTAACTTGCCCCAAGTCATACAACTTAGAAATAGCAGAAACAGAATATGAATAAGCATTCTGGCCCCAGCATCTACACTCAAAATTAATAACATATGCTGAGTTTAAAAAAAAAAAAGAACACCGAACCCATAGACTCATAAAACTCACTATGTGCCAAGCACTGTTACATGCATTTTACCTTCATAAATTTGAAATAAGAAGGTAGTCATTTTAACATGCTACCATGTTAACCTAATTTTTCTAGTTAATAAATATTAATATAAGTAAAAAGCAAAATCTAAAAATAAATTTGGTGAGATTTAATAAGATTATAGCTTTCTGTATACAAACTGATATTCAAGTTTACACTATTTCTATATTCTATTAATATACGCCACAAAGTTCTTAATTTTAAAAAACTGTACTACAGCTTAAATTCCTTAAATTATGTATTTTTCACTTGGATTTCTAGAAATTTTTCTAAGTTATATTTATTTTCAATATTTTGTCCTACTTTATTATTAGTGATTAATTTTACCTTTTTTTTAAAACTAACAGATTAATTGAGCATGTTTCGCTCATAGAACCTTACTCCTTAAACACCCAGAATTACTACTAGTAGTAGTTTTAGTAGTAGTATTTCTGCTACACCAGTTGCTCAAATGCTACTAAGGAAACTAGATTTCAAATTCATAGATTTTGCACTGTGCAAATCACATCCTGAAAGGCCAAAAAAAGAAATGCCTACATTTCTGTTCACCCATTTCTTTTTTCAGATGACAGCACAGACCTTGCCCTTTTCCCAGCATAGTGAGTCTAATTCTAATCTTCCCAGCTAAATTATTCTTTCTGGCACCAATTAGCACATTTTATAATTCCCATTTTACATGTATGGAGTAAAATCCTATTTGAGAACAGATCAGGATCAATGAAGAATTTTCCTTTTTTTAGTATAAGCTATTGCAGGAAGTTATAAAAATTATACTTACCTTGCATATTATTTTATCACAAAACATATATAATTTTGCTAGTCTTTTGATATTAGTCAGAGACAATTTATTTGAGTTTAGAGTTGTTTTTCTTGAATAAAACATAGTTATAATTATCCAGGAATAAGGTTTTCAGATTAGCTTTTAAATAGAACTTTAAAGATACTGTTAATGTAACATGAGTGCAGCATTCATACAAAATCTCATTATTTCTTGTCCAGTCACTTATAGATATCTATATCAAATTAGAAGGGAAATTCTAAGTGATTGACTTTCATGAAGTCTTCCCAGAGTATTCATCTTAGATTTATTTAAAAATGGCTTTTTGCATTCATTTTTCATTATTTTATATCACATTAAGGTGAATTACTTGATTAGAATATCAAATACAATAGAAACAAACAGATTTGGGAATATACAAAACTGATTCTGGTGGGCAAAAAATAAGCAAATAGCTCTACTAATTTGGGCCTTCTAAGAAGTAACCTACAGGTCTTAAGATTTCAGATTGCCAAGGGCATCCATCAATATTTTATCCACAGAGAACAAAAAGTGTTTATAAATCCAGAAAGTTTTATGTGAAGATAAAAAGAGGTTTTACACTTATTACATATGGCATTATTCTAAACAGAATTGTACTTCTATGATATAATATAGTTATACTTAACTTCTAGCTAAGATAATACATCTTAATAAGACAAGAACCAATACTGAGTATCTGCTAAGTTTCAGGCACTGTGCCTTAAATACAGTATAACTGTACTTAATCCTCACAGTAACTCTGAAAGGTAGTTATTATTCATATTTTACAGATGATAATGCTAATGCTCACAGAAATGATTTTTCTTAAAGTTACCGATTTCGTTCCCCTTTCCTTTAAATAAGGCAGTACACTATGCAGCTGCAGCCAACCCCAAAAGGTCCTACCACCAAAACAGTCCTATTGATCAGAAAAAAATGCATAATAAATTATTATTTCATCACAACAAAGATTAAAATTAAATTTAAAGCATACTGCTTTCGTATAATCATGAGATAGTAGCATAGAAAGAAAAAAATTTCAGAGCAAGAGTTCTCTGGTAGTGTATCAAAATCCCAGCCCTACTGTCAATTTACAAAACAAATTGCCAGAGGAGATGCCTAGGTAGGTTGAAAGGTTGTTTGTTTGTTCATTTATTTATTGTTTATTTATTTATGGCGTCACAGGAACAGAGGCACAGTGAGAATTGACGGTCTCTGCTGAAAGGTTGTGATACTATCAGTTCATATGCCCACTATGCCACTACTTGCTGTGACCAGGAGACACTCTTACTTGCCTAACCTATAAAATGCAGGTAAGACTTATCTAGTTTATCTTGCAGAACTGCAGTAAGAATTAAGCCACATAGCCCACATAGTGTGTACTTACCAAATGGTATCCATTATCATTATTTAACACAATGTATTCATTATACTAGCTAAAACTAAATGTTACCTGACAGTGGACATAACATCATAATGCAAGAAAATGTCAATGTTGAATATATTAGATCACAGAACAGCATGTCATAGATATAAACATTCATATCCTTTCACACCTGTAATAATTATTTTTTGCATACATGGTTCTTCCAAATATTGACATTAGTGAGTTAACACTTTTACTAGAAAATGATCAAACACTGTAACAAAGATTTGCTTGGTAAATTATTCCCAGTTATTGTGGTTATATTCATAATTAAATGAAAAACACAAAACATCTGAAATTAAAATGAAGAAAAACCCAAAGAAAAGATGACTATACATTGAAAAAACATTTATTAAATGAGAAAATAATCATTTATCCATTAAGATGGGGAAAAAGAAACAATGTGCACTCTCGCCTCAACTTTTCAGCATTACGTAGAATGTTCTAGCTAGGGAAATAGGTATGGAAAAAAAAGTGCCCAGGTTGAAAAGAAAGAAGTAAAGATAAGTCAAGATAATTCAATGACAAATGAAGTCTTTTCAAAAAATGGTACTGAGACACATAAATACCCACATGAAAAAGAATAAATGTGGATGCTTATCTCACACATATATAAATATTAGCTCAAAATGGAACAGAGACCAAAATGTAAGAACTACAATTACCAAACGCTAAGAAGAAAACATAAGAGCCTAGGCATGGCAGCTCATGTCTGTAATTCCAGGACTTTGTGAAGCTGAGGTGAGAGGATCACTCGATGCTAGGAGTTCTACACCAGCCTAGGCAATATAGCAAGACACTGTCTCTACAAAAAATAAAACATGTAAGAATAAATTATCATGACCCTGGATTAGACTGTAATTTCTTAGATATGACACCAAAGCATATCCACAGAAGAAAAAACTATGACTTCATCAAAATTAAAAATGTTTGGACTTCCCAGGACACCATCAAAAAGTAAAAAGACAATCCACAGAATGGGAGAACATATTTGTGATTCATGTATTGGATAAGGACTTAGTATCCAGAATATAATATAAAGACCTAATACAACTAACAACCAAGTTTTAAGATAAGCAAAGGATATGAACAGACATTTCTCCAGAGAAAATACATAAATAGCCAATAAGCATATGAAAAGATGTTCAACATCATTAGAGAAATGCAAATCAAAACCATAATGAAATACCATTCCACACGCTATAAGATGGTTATAATAAAAAATACAGACAGTAACAAGTAGTGGTGAGGATGTAAAGAAATTAGAATCTTCAATTTTTTTCGAGAAGGACTTCAAAATGGTGCAACTACTTAGGAGAATAGATTGGCAGCTCCTTTATGTTCAACAGAGAGTTACCCTATGACTCAGCAATTTTACTCCTAGGTGTAGACCCAAAAGAACTGAAAACATACTTCCACACAAAAATTCTGCACAAATGCTCATAGCAGCATTATTCGTAATAGTCAAAACAGAAGAAAATCCATGTCGATCAACTGATGATTAGTAAATAATATCTGGTAAAACTATATCATGGAATAGTTAGTCATAAAAAGGAATTAAGTACTTATACATGACACAATATGGATGAACCCTGGAAATATTATCCTAAGTGAAAGAAGTCAGTCACAAAATGTCACGTTATATGATCCCATTTAAATGAAACATTCGGAATAGATAAATCCACAGAAGTAAAAAGTACCTAAGTCTCTGTAAAGAGTTGGGGTGCAGGAGTAGGTGTGAATGCCTGCTAGTGGGTATGGGGTATCTTGTAGGAGGGATGAAAATTCTGAAATTAAAAAGTGGTGATGATTGCTTGACTCTTTGAATATAATGAAAAGCACCAAATTGAAC